CCCATTACCCCTCATTTATCTTTCTTCTGGCCCTGGCCTGGGGGAGGACAAAGTTTCCCACCATTGGATGCGAATGCCCAGATGGAGCAAATGCGGGAGCCCATGGAGAGGATATGTCCTTCCTCTGGTAGTCCATGCTGAGGATGCTACCATGGGCTCCAGTGTGTCAGGGCAGCTGTGCTCCCCACCCAGCAGCATCCCAGCATGGCTGCAGCTGCCTGGGAAGAAGAAGCAGTTAATCTCTTACTACCTAACTTCTTTTCTGGGGGACCCCAGAAATCAAAGTCTTAGGTACTCCAAACAGTGTCCTCTTGGAGGAAAGACCTGGGTTCACACCAGCTTTTGAGGATTTGTGTCCCTTGGATCTTTGTTCCTTCAGGTCATTCCTAGTTTCCAAATGGTCCTAGGCATACCAGCGTTTCTCCCATTTGTATGTTCCTTCCTCATAGCCTTCTGCACTGCAGTTTTTCTCTCTGCTTCTCCAGGAGAGTTTAGTAATTCTCCACATCTTGTTCAAAGACCCCCTTTGACTGTCTGCCCCCCACAGATTCAGAACTGTCATGCTGGTCTTCTCACCACTGCCCCAGTGTCTGTCATCATCCACCTCCCCAGCACCCTTGCTTTCATATTACCGGGAAGAGTTTAAGGATCTTGTGGGCATTTCATAACTTGCTTCTCCAGCATAGTTTCCCTCCTTTTTTATAGAACCCCAATTTTGTCCATGTATCTATTCTCACCCCATGTGCCCAATGTGCCCATGGGGCAACTGACTTCATACTCAGGTCTGAGAACTGGCCTGAGTTGCCACTTCCCACCTGCCCATTATTCACTTAGGAGCCATCTGAGTTACAAGATTGAGTGTGTTGTATAGCCATGCTTGCATCCAAATAACCTTTATTTTATTTAAAAATGGCCTTAAGGTGCAGGACGTGGAATCATGACAATCCGGATATGCCATAGAGAAGTAATGAAGTGCTTTCTTTAAGTGAAAATGTGAATATTCTCAGCTTAATAAGGAAAAAAGATGTGTATGCTGAAGTTGCTAAGATCTATAATACAATAAGATATTTTGAGAGACAAAAGCAGACCACATTTACATAACTTTTATTACAGTGTATTTTTATAACTGTTCTATTTTATTATCATTGTTGTTAATCTCTTACTGTCTAATTTATGAAATAAACTTTATCATAGGTATGCATGAATAGGAAAAAACATAGTATATATAGGGTTCAGTACTACCTAAAATTTCAGGTATTCATTAGGGTCTTGAAATGTATACTTTGTGGATAACGGAGACTACTGTATTTGTCCTTGGTGTTTAAGCCAACTCGAGTGAGTTTCTGTTACATGAAGCTAAAAATATCCTAACCCCTACAATGTCCCATGAATACCAGAAAATAAAACACCCCTTAAGAGAGTCAACACAAGAACAACACTCTATCACCTGTTAGTCACACCCCTTCCAGAACTAACCAGACATGCTCTGCCTGTTCACTTTTAGAGATACCAAACTCCTTGGACAGTTGGTTACAAAGAAATCTTCCAAGTCCCTCTAACAATTGTTAACTTCATCTTCTTAGAGGCATATGTGCATATCTGCGACTTTGGTTCAGTACTTCACCCCAGTCTCCAAAAGCCTGTCAAAGCTGTTCTAGAATACAACCAAATCAATATCAAAAGTAATCAGATAGAAATATGAAAAAATACTGTGCTTGTAAAACACCCATCCTGACAGTTTACACAGAATGATTCTTAATGACTTTCCTAATCTTAAACTGTATTGACAGGGCTTGCAAAAATTAAACCATGGAAAGCCAGGACATAGCTAGAATCAATGGACTATATATTGCTAACTACTGCTATAATTCCATATTCACAATGCAACAAATAACCCCAGCACCATTGTGAGCAATTATTGCTCATCTTTGGTACAGACTCAGAATGTTTTAAATTAAACAGACCCATAAAGTTCAAAAGACTTCATTTTCAATGAAAATATAAAAATTCCTATATAGATTAATTGATTTAACCTCTCTCTCTTTTTTTTTTTAATTCTGTGGTAATAGCAATCAGAGAGATGAAGCACTTAAGACTTAAAGTCTACAAAAATACCAAATGCATCACTGAATTTCACTCCATTCCAAATTGGCCCATCACTTGTCATTTGGTAACTGCTCTTATTAAAGAGTTGTATAGCTTTTAGGTCAGCCATTATCTTGAAATCCTTTTCATTCACTGCTTTTGACCATCCAATTCTTCTCACATATCAGAGGCTGTTTCAGCCATTTTTGACATGGAGAGCATAAAATATTCTTTCCTGCTTAGAGGGGAGTTTTTTTATTTAAACATGAAATGCTTTCAAAGAGAAATACCATGGATTTTAAAGAGTTTAAAAGCATTCCTGTTTTTAAAATCACAGTGGTATTTATTGTTTATAATGTGGGGGTTAAATGTTAGCTAATTATATTTACATCCTAATGAGTAACTGGTTCATAGCTACCAAAAGATAAACATTATGACCTTAGTAACTATGTCCCCAATAGAAAAAAGAAAGAAAGAAGAAAGAAGGAAAGAAAGAAAGAAGAAAGAGAAAGAAAGAAAGAAAGAAAGAAAGAAAGAAAGAAAGAAAGAAAGAAAGAAAGAAGAAAGAAAGAAAAGAAAAGAAAAGAAAAGAAAAGAAAGAAAGGAGGGAAGGAAGGAAGGAAGAAAGGAAGGAAGGAAGGAAGAAAGGAAGGAAGGAAGGAAGGAAGGAAGGAAGGAAGGAAGGAAAGGAAAGAAGGAAGGTCAACGTCAACCTACTTTCACATTGCTCTTTGTATCGAAGGTAATTGTGGACACCCACAAATGTAGGCCTAAGAAACTTTTATTACAGTTATCCAGGCTTATACAGTTCAAGGCTATATGCCAACTGATGAATTTATTTGTTTAAAGAAAAAATGTCCAAGGCAGAGGGGAAGGGTGATGTGAGAAAGATGGTGGAATAGGAATCGCCAAGTCTCACTTCTCCACAGAACAACAATTGGGCAACCATCCACAGACACATATACCTGTATGGAAGCTTCAGGACCCAGGTAGGAGGTTGTGACACACCATTGGAAGCTAAGAGCATGGAAATCTGCTTCTAGAAGGTATGCTTGTGTCCCAGGAACAGGTCAGCTACCATGGACTCAGCCCCAGACTCAAAACCAGCCTGCATAGTCAACTCTAGCCCTACTATCCATAGTGTTAAAAGCAGTCTCTTTTCTCTGGGGGCCCCACAGAAACTATACTCACCCACACCCAGGATAATAGGACTGCCAACCATAGACCCAGCTGAAGACATGAAAGAAGCCCCATGACCAAAGGTCATCCCACCTTGACTGCAGTCCCAGAGGCAGCATATCTGTCTTGAGACCCAGTAGATCATTTCCTACAAAATCCAGTCTTTAAAGAGCAGAAGAGGCGACTGCTCCTTTAGATGCACAGACACCAATGCAAGATTACAAGGACCATTAAGAATCAGGCAAACATGATTCCATCAAAGGAAACTAATAAGCCTCTAGTAACCAACTCTAAAGAAGTGGAAATCCATTAACTACTTGACAAATAATTCAAATAATTGTCTTGAAGTTCATAGAAAAGAACAGACTTAGTACTACATGAAATCTATGAAACAACAATGACCAAAATTATAAGTTCATTTAAAAAATAGAAACCATAAAAAGAAACAAGCAGAAATCCTACCACTGAATAATACAATGACTGAGCTGAAAAACTCAAGAGATCTTCAATAGTAAGCACAATTGGCAGAAGAAAGAATCAGTGAACTCAAACACTGGCTATTTGAAATCATTTGGTTAGATAAACAAAAAGAAGAAAGACGAAAAAGAGAGGGAAAAGACTGGGATTTATGTGACACCGTTAAGTAAACAAATGTAAATATTCTGAGAATTCCAGATGCAGAAAAGAGAGAGAAAAGGGAGAAAAACATATTTAAGAAAATCATAATTGAGAATTTCTGATATCTAGGCAGAGAAATGGACATCCAGATTCATGAAGATCAAAGGTTCCCAATAGGTTGAATCCTAAAAGGTTTACACTGAGACACAATATAATTAAATTTTCAGTAGTCAAAGAGAGAATTTTGAGAGCAACAAGAGAAAAGCAATTTATCATATACAAAGACGTTCCCCTTAAGACTGAGTTAATTTCTCAGTGGAAACTTTGCAGGCCAGGAGAGAGTGGGATAATTATATATTCAAAATACTAAAAGAAAAGAGTTATCCAACCAAGAATACTTTAGACGGGAAAACTGTCCTTTTTAAACAAAGGAAATATAAAGATTTTCCCAGACTACCTATAACCAAGGGAGTTCATTAGTTTATCACCAATAGACCTTCCCTACAAGAAATGCTAAAAGGAATTATTCAAATTGGGTTGAAAAGAGACTAAAAAAGTGAAAGTCTAAATTTCATTGCTAAAGGTTTTCCAGTCTTCTGTGTTTGGTGATATAGCATCTGGACCTCCTCTTCCCTATAGCCTTGTCCAGAGGCTCTAGAGTGACCAGTTATTCTGGTTTCTCTGGGATTGAAGGGTTCCAGAACTTGAGATTTTCAGTGCTAAAACTGGAAAAGTCCCAGGGAAATAGTACTGAATTGATTCCCCTACCAAAGTTCTGGGTGTAATTTAAAGGACAATCCAGTGATCAGAGGAAGGGAGAAGAGACAGAGATTTTATTAACAAAAGTCCCAGGAAAATAGTACCGAATTGGTTCCCCTACCAGAATTCTGGATGTAATTTAAAGGGAAATCCGGTGATCAGAGAAAGGGAGAAGAGACAACAATTTTATTAACCAGGCAGCCATCCTGACACAATGGGAGCCAACCAGATCCTGGCCAAACCTAACCAGAGAGGCTTCCACAAAGATTTAAGAGTTCTAGCAGTTTCCTGATACCCCCTCACCAACTCCACTCCTCTCCTCACAGCACACAGAAGACAGCCCTCTGGGAGAAGGTGACAAGCTGGGACAGTCACTGTGGGTCTCTATTCTGAGAAGTTACTGATCCTGTGTCCCCTGTGAGTTTCTTCATCATCTTCCACACCCACCCACCCCTCCAATACAAAAGTCTGAGCTTGGCACTATCCCTCGGCACCCCAGGCCAACACTCAGCCCTCCAGTATTTACATACTTGGGAGAAGACAGGTATCAAGAAGCAAAGACTCTCCATCTTTGCCACCTGTAGCCCCATATATAGAAAGCTGCAATGGTGAATGGGGTGGAGGTGGGTTGAGGAGAGATTCTAACTCATCAGAACACAGGAAAGCCTGGGTGGCTGTGCACACATTCCAAGCCTCCCTGACCATGGAGAGCTCCCCAGTAGGCTGTGAATGAGGATGGAGCAGTTCACCCCTCTATGTTCCCTGCCAGCTCTGTACAAATCTTAGATCTCAGTCAGATGAGTCATAACCCAGCATGGTGGCCTCACTCTGCCTTGGCCTCTCCTTTGTCCTGAGCAGCTGTCCCAGGCCAAGCCCTTTGGGCCATCAGTGCCCCTACATGACTCCATCACTTAATCTTGGAACTTAAGCCTCTTGGAAGATGCTATTGCAGAAACAAATGTTTGTCTCTGATTCAGCAGGGATGCTATTTCTCATTTGGAAGCTTGGACAAACCATATGGGCTCCCAGGCACTTACAGGTACAGAGTTCCAGGGAAAACAGAACTGTCACCTGAAGGTTGGCTCAGGCCAGAGATCCACAGCTAGGGCTGAGGGGTATCAGACTTCCTCATGGCTAAGAGGAACAGGAGAGGGAATTTGGTGCTGGACTCAGGCAGAGGGAGATGAGGCAGTACTCTGACATGTGCCATCCCGTAGCCTCCACCACCTGGCTCCCCATCTTTGGCCTGCCCCTAACCTGCACCTGGACAGCTTTCCCTTTCCCAGGGGCCCACAGTAGCCCAAGCACCACGACCACTGCTTTCATCAGAGCCTGTGGGAGCTTCCCGAGGCATGTCCTTGCCTAGGTAGCTTTGGATTCCACACTTGCTAAAATACAGATGCTTTCCAAAAAAAAATGTAATGCCAATGGAGGAAACTTGAACATGGTGGCAGGCCAATGAAGGCTTTTTCCAGGCTCTCCTAGCGTGATTGCCCCTTTCTGGGTGAGCTGTAGGCAGTGGGGTGTTGTGAAATCTCTACCAACAGGCTCTGGGAAGGGGGAAGCTTCCTTTGTAGCATGATTTTCACGGTGTGAATCCTCCCCCCATGGCCATTTTATGCCAGCAATAAGACGCCAGTGCATGTGGAGCTGGGAGGGCTGGGCAGTCACTCCGCAGGGGACAGTATTTCCAGCAGACAGACACGATGTGATGTAAATATCCTTGGGCACAGATAATAGTAAAATGGAGTCAAATAACCAGAAAGTGCTGAGTTTTGGTATTTAATACTTTTATTTTTAATATAATTTACTTAATTGTAAGACTCTACAATTTAATTTTTAATAATGGCCATATAACATCAAGCTTGTATGATTTCTGAATATGTAGCATTTCACAGACACAGGTTTCCCGAGAGGACTCCTCCCTCCAGTCAGTGCACACCTGAATGGCCTCGCTAAGCACTCGGAACACTTAAAAGTACTCCGCCAACACAGGCAATGGGGAGAGACACTGAGGTCAAAAGTTTCATCCCCTACAGGAAACGACCATTGGCTGGGACTGTCCCTGATTCCCACACACCAGAAGCCATTCAGGTGCCATCAAACCTGCAGAGGATAGAGCCCCTGCCCAGGGAAGAACCCCTTACTGGCCACTGCAGGGATCCGGATGCCAGGAACAGGGCTGGAAGGGACAGGATCTCGAGGGGCTGCTGGATGCCACCTTCAGCCTGTGGTAGGGACCAGGCAGAAAGGGGGGCTACCATCCACTCTGTTGTCAGAGAATAGATCGGATTCTGTCCTCTTAAAGTAAGGGAAAGGAGCCAGGACAGGCTTTCACAAGAGTCCTTTATTAGAGCTGAAAACTGTGGAACCTCTTCCCATAATGGACAACCACTGGCACTCACAGTAAACACAGTAACAAGTTCCTCAGGAATAAAATAGTTCCAAGGTTACTCTGCAGCACCCTCTGGCACTGGCAGGTGGGCTAACAGGAGGGTGGTGAGAGATGCTGCTGTGGTTCGAAGCAGCTGGAGGGCAGCTTCTGTCCCTACAAGGTCACAGGAGACAGCTCAAAACAGGTGCCATGTGGCCCAGCCTTGTGTTCTCCCGGCGCCTGGTTGTCAGTCACTCTGCTGGGGGTGGAGCCTGGGGCAGGATCACTGGGCTATGAGCAGGTCCTGGAGGTGCAGAGAACTTGGAGGAGCCACCACAGGTCAAGTGAGTAGTCCCGTGGGGCCAGCTGGGGTGTGGGTGTGGTGTAGACATCACAACCCTCCTGTAACCCCTCTTTTTGCACCTGGTACTCCATCCCACACAGGAGCTGCAGACAAGAGGGTGTCTGATGCAGCTCTCTGTGCAAACTCAATGTGAGGCCAGGCCTCCTGGGCTCCTGGGCTCCTAGTGCCCTGATGATGGAACAGGGAGGAGGGAACCTAGAACCAGGAGTCAGTGACCTCGACTCAGACCCCAGCTCTGCCACTCGCTGCCCGAATCCTGTGCAGTTCTGTGCTGACTCACCTCTCTCAGCCTCAGTTTCCATCCCTGAGAGGTGAGAATAATACCTGGTCACACAGAGGATTAGAGGATTATGTCCAACGTGCCAGGCTGGCAGAAGATGCTTAATCAGTGTTTCCTCTACAGCATATTCTTATGGATGGCAGAGGCTGGGGCAAATGTGAATCGGCAGAAATGAGGCACTTTAGGTCAGTGGTATTTTGATATGGTCTTTTGGGACTTGGAAAGCAGATCTTTCAGGAACACTCAGGGCAAGCCTGCTGAGACGCCGGCCCCACGGTTTCCCTCATCCTCACAGCAGGGACCCATAGTCTCCACTGCTCCTTCTTCAGCTCGGGGCACAACCTGGACTCTTTCAGAGGGATTTAAGGAGCCGTAAACCAGCAGCTCTCAATATTGGAACAACCTGAGTCTGGCGGGTCACCAATGTCCAGGCCTACCCTCTGCTTAGATTCTGACCTAACTGGCCTGGGTGCAGCCTGGCAGCAGCAGATTCAAAAACCCCTGGGCCATTCTCATGTGCAGTAGAGTTGAGCACCCTTGCCTCAAACCACAGTCTCAGTTGCTGGGAATCACAGCCACTTGGTGTGAGCCCAATCCTCCCTGAGTGTGGTGTGGATATGGGGGATGGGTCCCTGCTCCCAAGCAAGCCTGTTCTCTGTGTCCCCTGTGACTGGACCCTCAGTCACACTCTGACAGCTTTAGTCCAGAGCCCCTGTCACCAGTGGCCCTGTCTTCTGCTCCACCTGTCACCTGGATGTTACTGTCTCTTGCTACCAAACTCATCTGTCCCTACTAGCCACTCACCTGGCTGGGCCCTGCTGATAAAGGGGCCCTTACCTCCTTCCTTGAGAGGCTGCCAAGTGGCTAAGACTGTGGTGGTTATCTCTGAAGCAGCACTGGCTACTGGGGCTCTTTTTAAGGAGAGAGGACACTTCAGGAAGTGGAAATGTTTCCGGTGGAAATAAATTTCCCCTTTATAATGGTGACCCTTGCATGACCCCTCTTTGTATCCACAGGTTCAAGCACAGAGCCTGGCTTGGGGTTAGAACCCATGGGGACCACTCAGGGCAAGCCTGCTGAGCCCCCAGCCCCAGGGTCCCCCTCATCCTCACAGCGGAGACCCGCAGCCTCCACTGCTCTTTCTCAAGCACAGGGTACAACCTGGACATTCATGAATGAGTGAATGAATGAATGGGGAGTTGGGATTCCATGTTGGGTTCCCAGCCTCTGAACTTTTCTGAATTCTCGGATCTGACTTGCCACTTCATTACTGTGGTTGATGTGTATCTCAAACCCGCACACCACTCCAGTTTCCTGCTTCTTCTGCAACTGCTCAGATCCAGTCCTGGGCTGGTGCCTGCATTCCACTGTATTGACATTGCTTTTCAGGGCAGACTCATGGTCACAGGGTGACCCTCAAGGCTTTCCTTAACTGCCCCAGCCTGGGAGGGTAAGGGTGAGTGTGGGGGGTGATGGCAAGGAGAATGGAAACCAACAAGAGACAGTCCCTGGGGCCCCCTAGCTCCTCAGGACTTACCCTGCATCCCACGGAGGCTCACGGCCTCTCACCACAGCTGCTGGTGGTGGGCAGCTCTTGGGCAGCCCTAGTCAGAGCTGGCAGCTATGGCCAAGTCTCTGTTGGAATTCTCTGTGCCCTCGTCCTGGGGTTTCCCCTGTAGCCATTGCCCTGCTGGGATCTCATGCAGCTCAATTCACACATCCAGAGTTAGGTTGTCTGAGCTGTCCCCTCTTGGGACAGGGGTCCTGAGATTGGCTTCATGGGGCAAACACTGGCACTGCCAGGGCAGTAAACAAATGCTCCCATTCCTGCCAAGCCTAACCTAGGAGTTCTGAGCCTGATTTCTCTCTGATTTTCTAGGAAAATTCACTGCTTCCTTGGAACCCAGCTCATCCCTTTGTTTCTTCTGAGCTCCTTGGGTCGCCTGTCGATCTCCTTCTCTCTGGAGACCTCATGCAAACAGGACTCTCTTCCTAAGGGCCCTAAGGAGTTTGCTTCTTTCCCTGAACTGCCCCAGTCCACAGTTCTGGAGATGATGTGTCAAAAACCAACAGGCAGATCCCTAGAGAAATGGAGGCAATCATCTTTAATTTTCAATCACAGCCACTGAAACTTATGATGCAGTTAGCATTCTTGTCTTTCTCCAGGCTGCATCCTGCATATCCTGCTTTGGGAAGAACAAAATCACTCCAAGGACACTGGGAAGACACATGAGCTGCCCCTTCTCATTCTGTATGACAACCACCCCACCTGTCTGCTTAATTTGAAGGGATCTAGTTCTTAGGGGAAATAAAGTAAACAGTATCCAAACTGACACTTACTCTGAAAAAGATTCTTTGTTCAGTTGGCTCCACCCTAAGGAAAGGCTGAGATTTATGCTACAGGCCTAAGAAGTGAGCTTATAAAAGGTCAGAAAAGAGGCCAGGTGCAGTGGCTCATGCCTGTAATCCTGGCACTTTGGGAGGCCGAGGCGGGCAGATCACTCGAAGTCAGGAGTTTGAGACCAGCCTGGCCAACACGATGAAACCCCGTCTCTACTGAAAATACAAAACTTAGCTGGGCATGGTCTATTGTGTCTGTAATCCCAGCTACTAGGGAAGCTGAAGCAGAAGCATGGCTTGAACCCGGGAGACGGAGATTGCAGCGAGTTGAGATTGTGCCACTGCACTCAAGCCTGGGCAACAGAGCAAGAGTCTGTCTCAAAAAAAAAAAAAAAAGGAGACTTTAGACGTTAGCACCTGTTTACCTTTGACATTTTGCCCCAGAACTGAGCCTTTGGATCTGGGGAAAACCTGGGCCCCACCTTTCTTCACCCCACCTCCACCCACCCCACCATACACCTGTGCCAAGGCAAATAGAGTTCAGGTGCTGCCGGGCCCCAAGCTCTGCACCCTTGTTTCTTCCATCCTCTCTCAGGTGCCTGGGCTGACAGAGCCAATATCTAAAGACCTTCTCTGCGCTTCACATCTTGGAGCTCAGAGGCCGGCCACTGGTGCTATGTGTCTTCCTCCCCAGGGTGAAGGCCACCACAGCCAGGACCACAGCCAGGAAGACCCCAGCAGAGATAGCAGTGCTGTGATAGCTCCCCTGGGAGCTGGCTGTCTCCAGTTGGTGTCAGCCACCAACATGTCTGGGAAGGATAGGAGACCACAATAATAGAGTGGGGACCAGGACAGAGCCCGGCAGAGGAGGAGAGGAAGACAAGTAAAGGCCGTGGCCCCCTGGGCATGGTAAAGACAATCAGAACTGTTTGGTGGGAAGGGATAAAAAACTTGGAGAAGGAAGTGCTGAATGGGAAACTGAAGCCAGACCCCAAAGGGCAGCTGACTGTCAGACTAGAGAGATTTCACGTTTGTCAGCCAAGGAGAGTCAGGGAAGGTTTCCTTAGCAGGAACTGGGAACTGGGCTTCGGCAGAACAAATCTGGCCTGAGGCTCCAGATGGATGGGAGGGGAGAGAATTGGGCATTTTAGACCAGCTGGGAAATGATTACAAGAGTCCCAGGTAACAGG